ATAATATAAATCATCATAGGTACATATACAGTGTTTAATAAGGACATGATGGAACATCGTAGGCTACCCTGTAGCTTTTCAACGAATAAAGTCCTGTGAAAAATCATTGTGTAATAAAATGCCATCATGTCCTTATTTAACACTGTATATGTACCTTTGATGATTTATATTATATTTATTCAACAGTGTTAACGGCTAACTTTCTTCAATATCATATATAATATACGACAGTATTTCTAGCCGTATTTCCAGATTTATCTGGCCGAACGCCCTCTTGAGGCATAGCATTGTGTAATACAATGTTCCCGACGGCTATTTGGACCTGTTCAACCATGAAGCCTTCGTGGTCTAGTGGTTATGACGCTCGCCTTGTCAGCGAGAGGTCGCAGGTTCGAATCCCGTCTGAGGGATTTTATTACACAATGATTTTTCATAGGACTTTATTCGTTGAAAAGCTACAGGGTAACCTACGATGTTCCATCATGTTCTATTAAACACTGTATATGTACCTTTGATGATTTATATTATATATATATAACAGTGTTAACGGCTAACTTCCTTCAATATCATATATAATATCTTATGTGAAATAACTTTAGAAAATTTACCAGTGTAAGGCAACTTAAAATAACGGGTATTCGATTATATGTATATATATATACATATATATACATATTTATATATACATATGTATATACGTATACGTATATGTGTATACACGTATACGTGTATACACATATACGTATATACGTATATGTATATACATATATACGTATATGTATATACGTATATACATTATATACGTATATGTATATACGTATATATATATGTATACGTATATATATATATGTATATACGTATATATATACGTATATACGTATATATATATATGTATATACGGATCCGTCTGCAGATATTGGGATTCCTTCCAGTGGATGCTTAGTTTATTTTGTCATTCTGATCGGATTTTTTCTACTGTTCCGTTTTAATTTTAATTTTAAATTGTTTTGCATTATATGGCCGTTTGCTGTTTTATGGATTTTCCCCTTTTGCCAATCAAACTTATATATTATTTAAGAATCTCTATTGAGATCTAGCGCCGCCATTGATGTACGGTAGAGATTGCATCTTTAGATCTCCGATCTTGTTCACAAATTCACGGACTAGTGCTGTCTCGTAAGAA